GGGGAGACCCTCGGCCGCTTGAGGGGAAACGTTAAAAGACGCACCCGAGGTCTTAAAGAAACGTTAATCCCGTTAACGTGTGTGTTTGTCCAGTATGTCTTGTGAGCAGACCGAAAGCGTCATTAAGAAAATAATTCGCGAAATCGGACAAGAATGCGCCGCCCGGGGACACACTGTTTCTGAAACCTTGGTGGCGTTCATGGTAAGCACAAATGAAATGTTTAGGGCGGTCTTTTTTATTATTATTTCATCTGGGTGTTTTTCTAATCACGTTCGAATTCTGTTGTGATCCGTAAAATATTAAGATAAATATGTATCGATAACATATAGATCAGAAGTTTCAAACCTGGATGCCCGTAGCTTGGCAGTTCAAACCGGTTTTAAGGCTTTCGTGAGGTGGGAGCTTAATTTTACATACAATGAATAGTTCCCCCGAAGTCGCTGACTGACACTGCTCGGACTGAATGGCATGAAGTGAGGACATAAATCATTCCTTTGGTCTTAAAAGTCGACAAACTTCAAATGGCAGCTCCACAGCAGCCTGCCCAGGCTGGGATGGCGACAGCTGAGGCTTTCGGGGTGACTTGAGCTTTGAAACACCTCGGTTTCTGCTAGCTCGCATTGGGAAGTTTTAAAGGGGAGTTCAGTGATACTCAGCATAGGGACCTGAAAACATGCAAAAGTGTTTCATTCCTCTGAATTGCTATCTATGTGAGTATAAGGCCCTGAAAAGGCTGGAGGTACTGAGCCCTTGGAACTCTTTGAACTCCAAATGGGAGTTCTCCCTTAGTTTTCTTCTGCAGGCAGGTAAGCCATTTTTTCCTTTCTGAAGTGAAAATGAGAAGTGTTCCCAAGTTTTAATAACATTTCTTTCCACTCTTTCATAAATGAACAAAAAGGCATGACGCATAGGTGAATGTTTATTGCAGCAGCTATATTTATTCTTTGATGTTTACCTCTTCCCTCTATTGTGATGGATTCTTTTGTTTGTTTCTCTGTTTAGGCAGGGCCAGGTAGTGTAAATGGGCTGAATATTTGAAGGAGTGGGCCTGGATCCCACCTAAACTAAAAATGAAGTTGAATCAATCTATCTCAGTGTTGTCCTTGGTAAACAACTATAAGTATCCTAAAAAACATTATACGCTTTGGCGTGTCCTCTTACGAGACAGAGCACCACTGCAGAATGTAGTCTGAATGCATCTGCAAATCTGTGTCTGCAGAAAGATGGAGCTAGGTTCTTTCTTCATTGATGGTATAAGAACAGAATCAGCTCTTGATAAACTTGCATATGAATGTAAATGGTTCACAGCAGTACTGTTAGTCTGCCATTTTTTTTCCTGAAGGTGACACTATGGCTTTAAAAAATACATTGGGCTCAAAAGCAGTATTAATCAATTAAGCATGAAAATTTTCATGGGTAAAAACCTTTTGCATGTGGCTGCCAAGATACCCAGCATGCACACCAGTTACAAACATGCACATATTTTCCTGTGTGCAGGACACTATGAATTTTTTATCCAAATGGTAAATATTTATACTGATGGATGCAACACCAACCGAGAAGTCTATAAATAACCATGATGGATTTTTATAAAATTTTACTTAGAAAAATATTTTTCCACTAAGTTTTTAAAGGAGCTGTATTTAAATATTTCTCTACAAAGTTTGCATCACAAATAGATTTTTTTCTTCACTTATGTCTCAGAACTGAGATTGAAACTGGCAACGTGTGAAATGAAGTAACTTTGTTTCATTATCAAAGATTGAATGGGAAAAAAGAATAGTAAAGAAATACTGACTGCATCTGAGATTTTTCAGAAAATAAAAGGTGAGTTGCAAAAAGTATATGTTGAGATATAAATTAATAGCTTTCTTTTGGCCATCTCTAGGTGAAAGCTGCTGTTTTAGATCCAAGAAATGACTTTAATGTGGATCAACTCACAAAAACAGATGTGCAAAATCTTACCCAGGTAATTCTGACATGATGTTGACAGTTACTACTTAGCTAAGACTAGCATTATTTGCTATCTGTTTCTGTAAGTAAAATGTAATTTTATCTTGATATGAACACTTCCAAATTTTTAATGCTGCTTTATTCTCATGGTTCTGTAGCTAAAGACTGGATTATGTGTTCCCTCATGTTAATAAATGCCTTATACTTCATAGTGTTCAGAGAATGGTAGGGAGGGGGCTCTACTGCTGTTGTGAAACCTGTAGCATAGTCACTGTCAGTTCAGACGTTTCCCCTGTGGTGAGAAAAACTCACTTCTCTGTCTCTCTTCTTAGCTCTGTGTTACCAGGCTGCTTGACACCACAAACCCATCCTTGAGCACAATTAAGATGCAAGTTTACTTTGATATGAACTATGCAAACCGAGGTAATTTCAATATAGATGTTTTCATAGTTGATTCTGAGTTTAGGATTTAATATCTCTCTCCGTAGGGCTAATAATGATTCCTGTTAAATGACTGCTGGCAATGAAACAAAATAAAAATCCCTGGAGAAATGTACTATATAGGAGTATGGTGTTTCACTACAGAGATATGTTGTGATTTAACACAGCAGGCAGCCAAACACCACACAGCTGCTTGCTCACCCCCCCCCCCTAGTAGGATGGGGGAGAGAATTGGGAGGGCACAAGTAGGAAAACTCCCGGGTTGAGATGAGATAAAGATCGTTTAATAGAACAGAAAAGGAAAGGAAAATAGTAGTAGTAGTAGTAGTAGTAATAATAATAATAATAATAATGATAATGATGGTAGAATATTCGAATTGTGTATATAAGCAATTGCTTACCACCCACCGATCGATACCCAAGCAGCGATCACTACTTCCTGGACCACGCCTCCCATTTATATACTGAGCATGACATCGTATGGTATGGAATACCCCGTTGGCCAGTTGGGTTAGCTGTCCTGGTTATTCTCCCTCCCAGCTTTTTGTGCACCTGGCAGAGCATGGGAAGCTGAAAAGTCCTTGACTATGGACTACTTAGCAACAACTAAAAATATCAGTATGTTATCAATGTTCTTCTAACCCTAAATCCAAACCACAGCACTAGGAAGAAAATTAACTCTATCCCAGCCAAAACCAGGAGAATATAGTAGGGAAAAAATGTACATTATCTTTGAGAGTACACTCATCTCACCCTGTCTGAGAGATTTACTGAATGTCATGTATTAGACCGCTTGAGAGCAATTATGCTTTCAGGTGCAGTGGCTAGCTGCCTTCATCAAGAAAAACTTGCACTGCACCTGTGTATCTGAAAGAGAACCAGTACCCAGAACTGCAGTCATGTATCTGAAAGAGAACTTGATGTTTTATCAATATCCCTAATTGAGATGAGCAATCTTGAACAATCAGTTACAAGTATGTTTTGGTCTCATCAGTGGTAACTTCATATGGTCTGAGAATGGGAACGTGGAAGAAAAATGAGATGGGTAGAATGTCTCTGCTGTAACTGTAACCTCAGATCTCAGTGGGACAGTGAGGGCTGGCTGGGACACAGAAGACACAGAACAAGAGTAGACAAAAAATTAACATTTCTGTGTGGGGAGGTCATGAAAAAGTTTTCTTGTTAGCATGGATTAAAACCAAAAATTAGCAAAACTAGAAAGCCACTCCAAAGTCTTCTGGACTCAGTAACCTCAGTAAGCTCAAGAAGTCCAGTAAGATTCTGAGATCCTGAATAGTGTTCAGATTTGGATGCCTAACTTAAGGTGTCTATGAAATATGTGTGTGTGTGTTAGGTCCTACTGCAGTCAGAGGAGTCCAGAGAGCCAGAGACTTGCTGCTTAATTTGGCCTGAATAGTTCTCTGGACTCTACTGACTGATGTTAATCATGCTAATTATATTAATGTTTAACTCCACTGTTGTTAATTATAACGGTATGCTACCTTGAACATCTCTTCCCCTTATTTGTGCTTCAGAAACCTTAAGTTGGTGCTCTGATTGTGGAAATTAATTGCACCCTCTGTATAACCCAAATTCCAAATAATTTAGATAGCACTTTCTAACAATCCTTCTTTCCTAGCTGAATTACTCAGTGAGCAGCACCGTGTTCTGGAGGAAAGGCTGGCTCCTGTGGTCAGAGATATCACAGACAGTTGTCCTCGTGTGCAAGAAGAAATGGAGAATGTGTATCGAAAGATCATTAGCTACGTGCTCCTGAGCTCTGGCCTGGGATCCCCAACAGATATTGAGGTTGTCAGGGAGGTAACAGGTCAGTAAACTCCCAGCTGTGAAATTGGGCTTTTCTTATTGAAAAATAAAATTTCACCTTCTCTTTGCTGATCTTTAGGTACAGATGTGGTAAACCACGATGAATGCTTACTACCCAAACTGTCACTGCTCAGCCTTGAAGTCTAAATTTGCCATGGATTTCCTACTTTTTGCAGTTGTTAAGGAGAGGGTATTTTTGCTTGTTTAACGATTTTCTTTTCTGTTCCCTCATATTGAGGGTTTTCTCACCCTTTGTAATGCTTCTAGCTGCCCTGCAGAGTGTATTCCCCCAGACAGAGATGATTGCTTTCACCTCACTCAGTAAGAAGAACAAAGAGGAACAGCTGAAAAATCTTGCCATGCTAGTCACAGGAATTCGGTTGTACAACAAGGAATGCAGGAAAGGAGGAAGCAGCATTGATGACTGTAAGTAGACAACTGCATTTGGGCTGTGTATTCCCAATTAATTCTTCCTGGTCTTCTTCACTGGAGCGGCTCCAATAATATCCCATCTCTCTAGATAAACAGCTTTGACTCAGGGTCTGTAAACCTGAAGGAAAAGTACATATTTGGTATTTAATTATAGGTTTCCATGTAGGCTACTACTTTTTAGCTAAGAAGGAGCCCTATGTGGTTGATGTGGAAGGATTATATGTATTAACTTCATGCACTAATTTACTTCATGATAACTTTTCCCTGATGCCTTGGCATTAAGTGAATGAAATATATAATGTTTGCCTTTAAAAGCACTTCATTAAAATCTTGAAAGGACACTGTCAATCCAATTACAATTTTCTGTTGCATATGTGTAATGAGAAGTGATAAAAGTTGCTGGGGCACTATCTATATTCTCATAATTTAAAGTAACCTCTTCAGATTCTTAACATGTTCTCAAAAATATTTTGCATTTTGAATCCTCGTCAGTGGAAACGTTTTTGTGAATATGCATGTAGTATTGTAGCTCAGCATGGAGACTTCTCTGTAAGAAAGGTCTGCAGCCCTGTTTTAGGGGAAACCAAGAGTTGAAAATTGTGCAGATTGCCTAAAGTCTCTCGGGAAACCCATGTCAGCAGTATCAACTGAACTGCATCTACTATAAAGCAAGTTTTCTCACAGTCCTTGACTTGACTGTGATATTTCCGCACATGTAATTCTGACTATGTGAAATCACTTGACTAGTAAGATACAGCAGCTGAATCTAGTATGCAAACATTTGGAAATGCACGAATATAAGGACAAAATGTAGAAATTTTATTGGAAGTCTGCTTTGCTCAACTACTGCACTGTAATCTTTCGCTAATGATTTAAATAATTCTTTTTATATGTATCTCATATTTATTCTATATAAACAGTGCCAGCCATTCTGAATGAAGCCATTCCATCAGCTACACGGACTGTCGATGAAGGTCTTAATACTTGCCATACGCTAGCCCACCAATACGCAGCTCTCTTGGAATCCATGCAGGAAGACCAACACAGATACACACAGCTTAGTTCTTTTAAATTAAAAGAAGCACTGTTCAATGTGAGACAATATGAGGCCTTCCTTTGCATCCTTCTGGTGAGATACCATCATGTTATATCCTGTGGGTTTTTATTGCAGATGGAATGTATTCAAGTTACCTATTTGTACAGGACAGAAATAAAAGAAAAATGATTCAGAAATAAATGAAATAAAATTGATCTCAATCTATGATAACCTTTATCGTCTGTCATGCTGAACTTTGTACCTAACTTGCTGGGTTTGGCTACTGTCAGGTAAAACACAAAATGAATTAATTTTTTGCTGCAGTGTGACTGTGCTTCCATTTCATTTCTGGAGGTTTCCTTTTTTGGTTTAATTTCATTAACAAAGGACTAAAAAAGTAGGACTTTTTTCTTGTTTGCATATTGATAGTCACTCTGCCCCAAAAGGCATGAGGGAAAAAATCTCCTTGTTCAATCCATAAATCACCTCAGTTTTAGTCTGCAGACATCCCCAGCCATATGGAGTCATCAGAAGTCTTTGAAGAATACAACTTAAGTTCTCAAAACTTGTTTTGTTTATGAAGACTTTTTCATTTGTCTTTTGAGAAACTGCAGGGTTTTATTAGTTTTTCCTGTGTATCATGAAGCTTGGAAAAATATTTCTCTTCTAAATTTTTTTCAGTTCTCTTCATTATAAAAATGTAGAGGTTTTCTATAAAAATTACGAGTATATGTTTGAGAGAAGCACCTGGTTTTATACCTGAACACTTAAGGAAAAATGTATTTTGTGGAAAGTTAGGGTGCATTTCGTTCTTGAAAACAGTTGTCTGAAAACATTTGAATGAAGAGTTCCAAGTAAATACTCATTACTAAATACCTGATTTTTGACTGTCATACTCCTTACCTCAAGTAAATTCTCTTTCCAGTCTGATGCAATTACAAGTGCTCAAGAAGTTGAAAAGATGAATGTGCAGTTTGCAGCAACAATGGAGCAGTTGAAAAACACAGTGCAGAATAGGGTTTCCATAGATACCAAAGAAGTTTTTGTAAGTATTTTGAATGGAAAACCTATTTCTTCTTAATTATAAAAAATTACTAAAGTATTAAAAATACTTTACCAGTGTATTTTTGCATAGTTTATGTTAAGAAAAAGGCTACATTGTTTTCTTTCTATTATAACAGCATCTGTGATTTTTGAAGGGGCAACTAAACTAAAAGACATGATCTCAAGGTAAAAGAAAAGCAAGGTACAAAGAGGGGGAGAAAGAATTAAATGGTATTTTACTGTAAGTGTCTTGAGTAATTTGTCAGTATTTGTAGATTTACAGTGATATTTTCCTGGTTTGTGTAAATATTCTCCTGTTCCTTGCAGAAATAGTAAGAACACAATGATGACAGATAACAGCACATCAGAGTGTGATTCTCTTAAAGTCCTTTCAGATAGCAATTCCTGTAATTGCAGTATGACTCCTTGATACCATTTTTCTAAAGAAATCAAGTTTCTGTGATGGGGGTTTCAGCCTCTTTGCCCCTCCCAATAGCTTCTGACCCTGTTGGCCAGTTTCAGTCAAATTTGTCAGAGTCCAGAGATCTCAAAATATGTCATTTTCTGCAAGCTTTGTGAAAAACAAGCAACTAGAGAAACACAATTAGAGCCCTCCTAAGATCAAGTCTGAAATGGGAATGCCACAATTACCTGCTGGTTGTGTGCTGTCTGGCCAGTGAGCAGCCACGTACCTCTGCACGATCGATGTTCTGTACGGTTTCACCCTTAGCTGGGAGCTACAGGACGTGGGAGGGAGGTGTTGGAGAAAGAGGGAATGAGTGATGCAAACCGCAGGTATTGTGAAGGAGAGTGCTCGATGACCCTGAAAACCTGGGATTATTATGATGGCATAGTGTAAAGGAAATGGGAGAGAAATATGTCAGAAACCAGCTTCATTTAATTTGCTTTTCAAGGAAGAGCTCATTATTTTGTGTGATACATCTATCATTTTAATTCCGTGTAGTTAGCTGTTGAACTAGCATGCAGTTGATACATATGTTAGGTTATATTTCATCCTTCTAAACAAATACTTGGAAATCAAAATAAAGTTTACTGTGGAGAAAGGAGGAAGAAAGATCATGCCCCATCACCTACTCAGAGTATTTTTTACACTTCCCGTAAGGGCATCTGAGCTGGAAACTCATGGGAACAGCACTTTAACTGAGGTACATCTCAGATGTGATCTGATGCTTCGGTTTTATGTGTGCTTGTGATTTTATAAGCCAGATGTTCTCATTTGGAGAACATTTTCCCCTCTTGTCCAGCTGCTCAAAGCAGTTTTTTCTCCTGTATCTTTGTGAGGCTTAAGTGACTGATATACGTTACCCTTTTCCCTAGAAGCTGTCTGCTGTTGTCTGCTTCCTTCCTAGATTTTCTTCTCTCTTCGGGTTGGTTAGTTGTTTTTCTTCTCTGCTGAAGACAGAATATGTCTTTTGACATATTTGATTTCAGGTCTTTTGCAGATAGAGATTTCTCTATTAACACACCATTAAATAGTTCTTCTTGTCTTCATCTAGTTGCTGAGAAACTGGATCCTCTACAAACGTAGAGAAGCAGGGCATTCTGCCTTTTAAAAACCATAGGATAAGGCCTGTATTTGTAGTAAACATTTGTTTTAGGAAACATAGTAGATTTCATTAATATTCTTTGTTTATTCTAGTAAGATTGATTTTGATCTTGCTGCCCTTCCTTTAGTTTCTCCCATTTTTGTAACCGTAACATTTCCACAGCATTAATAGTGCAGGTGAATTCCAGAGCTGACTCTGTTGGCTATTCTTATAATGTTGTTAACATGCATAAAATATAATGTTGTTAGCATGCATTTCAGATTTGTTGATTCTCTTCTCATAAATGCTCTGTGTGTTTAGATGTAACAGGGCACATTTTATGTCAGTGTCATTGAAATCAGCATTTATACTCAAAGCTCGTAGGCTTTTTCTGTATGTGTGTACACCTGTATGTCAGCATTGCTGCTGGGAATGGCAGCTTCCAGTTTTGTCCTGAACCCCGTACCACTCTGAAGAGGCTTGCATGCCATTAATTTGACACGCGTGATGGCTTGGGGGCTGTGGTACTAAGTCACTCTGGAAGCAGGGTAGACAAAATAACAAAGCTTGATAGTTTGTACGTATAGATGTGGTTTTACTTCATTTGGTAGGTAACCAGGTGCATTTCTTCTGGTCCTTCTTATTCCTGTACACCTTATTTTCAGTTATAAAACTGTATTGTCAGTGAAGCGCTCAATTCCAAGCATGGTCTCAGAGTAACATATTTGGGAAAGGCTTTGGAGTAAAATGTAGGAAAGTACCATTCTGGTCTATGGGCATACATGCTGGATGTATGTGCTTTGGGTGTACGTGATGGGAGCTCCTCTTACAATGCCTAGGAGTTCCCCTGGAATTTCTGGATGATGAAGGCCTTGGAGATCAGCCCTGCTTTGATGATAGCAGGGACTGTTGTGCACAGTACTTGGGTTATGCTGCAGACATAAACCAAATCTGGATTTCAGATCATTTTCTTTATTTTCTAGCCTCTCTTTGTTGCACTTTCTAACCTCTGGACCGGCTTTCAGGATGAGAGACTACTGCTAAGCTTCCTCACAAATATGACTAACAGTCTCCAACAGTTCTCGGAAATCCAATCACAGCTTTTTCCTGAGGAAGTGCTAACGTCTCTTCTGGAAGGAGTGACTGTGAAAAGTGATGAGGAAAGGATAAGAGAAACCATGGGTACTGAAAATTATTAGTTTTCTGTTTTCCTTCATTTTCCAAGATCTTGTGGTTTGAATTTTATTTACAGAAGGTGCTACACATTGATTTTTTAATAATCAGAATTTGCGCAGTAAATTAAAATGAGTCTTGTAGTGTGTGGATTTATTTTTCATGTAGTGTAGTTTGGGCTTTTGTTTTTATATATAAAATTAATATATAGCTACTAGATACAAACATACCTTACAAAAATGGCAGAATGATCAGAGAATAATATTTCTACATTTTTTTGACATTTCTTAAGTTTGTTTATGTCTTTTTATACCTTTCAGAATGTCTGAAATGGAAGGGGAAATAAAAAAGCTAATGCAACGGAGCTTTGGTTACCAGAAGTATTTGTTTGTAAGATGGTATCCCTAGTAACCAAGTTGTACTCCAGGGGTTTTTTAGTGCGTGAGTGGGTGAAAACAAAATAGAAGAATAAGGTATTACCTGTCATTCCCTGTTTCCAATGAAAACTAATGCTACTAAAGAAGGCTCCTGCAGGACTGAGTTTTCAGTAGGATCTCTCTTAAGGCAGGGTCAAAGTTTGGCTTTTGGGATCTTGGCACTGCAGGTCATCCTGTGAAGACCGCAGTAATCCGGTTATCCTGTAACATTATTATATTTTAAACACGTTTTGTTAGTGAAATCCTTCCTTTGTTAAACCTTTTCTTAGGAACCAGAGTGGATGTTTCTGATTTCAAGAACCAAGAATGGCTTTTTCCAGAGACTACTGATAATTTTGACCAGTTGCTAATCCAGTACCATGGTTTCTGTGCACATGCAATTGGTGTGAAAGGCCTCACCCTCCCAGGTATGCTTTGTAGTTAGGTCTTTTCCATACTTTATATGTACACAAGTACTAGTGAAAATGTAAAGACATGTTCTGAATGCATCCTCTTATGCCAAAGCTGGAGTACTGTATTTTCATGTTTGTAATTTTCACCCCAGATAAATTATGTCTCCTGTTAAAGTATAATTCTTTTAAAAATACACAAATAAACTGCCCTAAATAGAAGGTAGGAGGGCTTCAAGAGAAAGTAGGCACGAGAAAGCAGAGGCAGAAACAAGATGGGATGGATAAATATTTCCTCCTGCTATATGTGCATCTGTATAACCTACACTGCACCTGAATGCAGGTTTGTTTATTGTTGTTAATGTGTTTTAATACAGGCGTAGGAAAATGGTCATTCCTTCTATTTTGTGTATCTGTCCGTTGCAAATAGACCCATTCATGCCTACATCATATGTATTTTTAAACAGTGGATATAAAGTACCAAAAATCTTCTCTGAAAAGAATGCAAAAGTGCAGTTAATTAAGTCAACTAACCATAGGATATCTTTTTTTTATCTTCTAGGGTCATTTGTCTTGAAAGCAAGCCTTATTTCAGCTACCTCATCAGTTCATGTTTTCTGTCTCCCTATCCTTTATAGAACTTATCCATATAGAACTTTTTTAAACCTACAGGAGGTTGGGAGGAAAATACTGCCATTTCTTGGCAGTATTAAAAAATAGATATTTTAACGGCAATCTAAATTAGTTACACCTATGTAGTATTGCATATGAGAACAGCTGTCCTGGGTTGGACTGAAGGTCTCTCTAGCCCTGTATCTGATTTCTGGATGCCGTCAGTCACGAACACTTGAAGATTATGAGAAATCAAGTAGGAATGATCCTTCCGTAATTATATCCTTCCCTGTTCTAGCAGTCAGTGGTTACAGGATTTCCTCAGATAAATGTTGTGCCTGTACCTTTCTGTTGAATAATCCTTGATAGAGGTTTTTCATTTATCTAATTGCTTTTTGAATCCATTTAGAGTTTGCCATGGGATATTCTTATTGTCAAAGAGTCCTACAATTATAGTTATATATACTACTGGAAAGGTACCTCTTTTTGAGATGGTTTTAAGCTCTGGCTTGATAATTTCATCAAAGACCTGATAGTTTTTCTGTTAGGAAAATTAGCAAATAGTAATTTTATATTGCACGCAATTCATGGTTTTATAACCCTGTATCATATTATTTCTCTTCAGTTGCTTCTTTTTAATGCTGAAGAGGCCTCTTTCTTTAATCCCTCCTTCTGTGAAATGTATTCCAAGCCTCTAACCACTCCCAACTCCCTTCATTTTACTTTTTCTTACTCTGTTGTATTGGAACAAAATGTAGTATTACAAATGTAGCATGTAGGTTGTTTTAATGTTTTTTTTTTCACCCCGTCTGTTTGCATCCTAATAATTCCTGACGTTCTTTTTGCTTTTCTGATTGCCACCGAGTAGTGCCATTTAGTATTTTCAAGGCACTATCTGTGATGATTCCAGGTCTTTCCTGGGCAATGACAGCTGAAGCAGAGCCTGCCACTGTCCTTGAGCTCAATTTGTGGTTTCCTATATAAGTTATTTGGCCTTTATTGACATTTTCTCTGTTACTGTCCAGCTTATCAGCTGCTTCTTCAGTTAATTTCAGTGTTATGCCCTTTGGTATAAATGGACTGCTGATCTGCAATCAAATATTTGCTGGAGATTATAGGGGAAACATCTGTGGGTATGGGCAATGTTTTCTTATGCCTTTGCTATAGGTGTGTTATCTGTTGTTTTTTTGACAGACATGCACTAAGGCATGCTGGATGTGAACTGATCAAAAACAGTTGTACTGACTTAACAAAATAGACTGTTCTATATTTAAAAATCTTACTTTCAGGGATTTATTCTGATTTCAGAAAAAAAGGAAGTGAAACTGACTTGAGGGAAGCACAAAATCTTGATTACAAATGTCTTTTGTATTGGATAGCATACTGTTCGCTATTTTATTTTGTGGGGTTTGTTTTGGTTTTTTTTAGGAAATCCTGCTATTGGAATTTTGAAGCACAGGGAGAGATGTTATGTTTTCAGTTCCAAAGAAGCTGCATACATCTTTGCTCAAGATCCAGATAAGTTCATTCAACTGAATGTAGAAAAAGCAAAAGAACATGCAGAGCTAATTCAACTGCTCGAGCTTTGTCATCAGTTTGAGTACCTTGCTCCGTATGCACAGGTACACATTGCCCATGCCTCTTGCTGAACAGCTGTTGGGTCACTAGTTGGTCTGTCCTTTCTAGAACATAAAGACAACAGATGATACCCATTTTTAGAAAAGAAGTATAATCATCTGCCTATCATACAGAATGTCTGAAGGTCCGTCTTTTCCAGGTCTTCAGGGTGTTGATAAGAAAAGTTTTCCCTTAATGTTGTTCTCACCTTATCTCCTCATAGGAGAATATGTAGAGCCAAAGGATTGTGGCAGCGATAAAAGCTGTTTGTCCTTAGCCTAGGAAGATCCTGTGTCTGATGTTTCTTTCCCTCATTTTTGCAAAAGTAGCTTAAAGGGACAGTAAATAAATGCAACAGAAGATAAGCCAGATACCATATTAACTGGAGCTTTAGCTCAGCAGTTCATCAGTATGTTCATCAGGATGAGGGTGTAGTGATATCTGGGGACATATATTACAAAATGAAAGGGAACTCATTAATAATGAACGCAACAGTGCTACCTTGTGAAATCCAAAGACTTGATTTGGATTCATAGACATTCTCTGTGATACATTGTGAATTCTAGGTCCCTAGCAATGCAAAGTATGTAGTCTTGAACTGGCCCTTGGTGAGAAAGATATGGTTTATATCCCGGCTCTGGCAGAGATGTAAGCACTTCTACTAATTATGATTTGTGATTTTTAGTCCATTCATAAAGATAAACTGAGGTGCCTGCATCATAAAATACTGGTGGTGGTGGTAGTATCCCCTTTTATCAAAATCCAATGATTAAAGCACTCACCTGGGATGTGGGAGTCTGAAATTCAGCTGTGGCCTCTGCCTAAAGAGTTTTCTGTCAGAAATTAAATCCATCGAATACTTAATGGTTTCTTCTTTTTTAGCAGGGGCAGGGGGAACAAAAATATTTTTAATGTAAAAATCATTATCCACTTGCGGTTTGCAGGTTTTTATTTGCTTTTAAAAAGTAGCATATCCATATGCTGTTTCTCTTAGACGCCTGCATTCTCATTAATGCCTTGCTTGGTTTGGGTTTTTTTTTTCATCCAGGTCAGAAATGCAGACAAATGTTTGATGAAACCAACCACAAAATGTGACAGTAGTACTCAAACTGATACTCATATTTTGCCTCCAACTATTGTGACGTCCTATGAATGGAATGAATGGGAACTGAGAAGAAAAGCTATAAAATTGGTTTGTATTGTTATTACCAGATTTTCATTGTTGGATAACAAAGTACAGAATAAATTATTGTAAACTTTTGTTCCTTGCAACATAAATTTAACATTCCGTTAATGCACACTTCCATTACAACGGGCTCAATATTTTTTTCCAGGTATTTTCTCTCTGTATTTCTAGATTTTCTTATTCTCCCACTTTTTCAATATTTTTCCCCAATTTTTTGAGCAGTGCTTCCACTGCCATGTCCATTTAGTCCAAATTTTTCATTTGCGTTCTTTAAGTAGTAAGAGTTTGTTGATTAGCATTGAATTTTTAAGTTGTTTCTCCACACTGAAATTTAACAGTTTGAAGATATTGCTATATACTTTCTTTGTAAAAAAAAAACGTTGCAGAAAGGTTTGGGTCAGGCAAAACTTTATTGCAAGTTGAGCAATTTATATTAATATTTATCACCGTCAAGTAAGAAGAGGAAAAATGTGGTAACTGGCATACAGAATGGTTAGGAATACCTTTGGATGTGTTTGACACTGCAGAAGCTTTCTTTGAGCTAACTTATCCATCCTTGAAAGGTAGCAAAGCATGAGGCTTTCCTTTTTTTTTTTTTGCATAATGAAATATTTTTCATTTTATCCTGATTCTTCATGTTTGCTAAAACCAATTCTGCTTTTTTTTGGGGAAAAAAAAAAAAAAATTCCCTTTTTCATGTAGGACCAATCCGGAGAGGTAAGAAAGAGCAAGTAGGTTTTGTGTTGGATATATAATCCAGAGGAAATGTTTGTTATACTATCATGATGATTTTCTGATGGATTGGATATCACAGCCTGTCCACAGAAGGTTAGCCACATACATAAAAGCTTTTAAAGTAACAGTATATATTTAAAAAGCTTCCTTCTATGGTTTGCCAGCAGTTGTCAAGGTATAGCACCTGATTTTCACAATTCAGTCAAAATGAACTTGTGAGTACAGGGAATATTGCAGTTACCAATATCAACTGTACACAGAATACTGCAAGGGTGATTTTTTTTTTCTGTGAACAGATGCACTATGGAGGCCTGTGGTCTGCTGTGCAGCCTATTTCCTTTCTGTTGTTCTTTTTGCCATGAAAACCCCAACATTATAAAAGGAAACCAGAATTTTGGACTGAGAAGTCTTGCCAGTGTTAACTGGCTTTCAAAGGATTCTAATTAATAGTTGTTACTGAGGTATATAAAGAAGCCAATTAGGTTTACAAGAGGCCTAACTAAAAGCCTCCTTTGCTTCTGTAATGGACAAAAGTACATAAATAAATGTAAAAGATGTGGTCAGTAGTTTATCTTTAGCATAAGCAAAGGTGGATGTTTTCCAATAGCTAAGCATGAAGACTGTTCACAAGCAAATTTGTAGCTTGTTAGTTTGAAATATTTAGAGAAAGTACTTTAAAGTACTAAGGGTGTTTTAGCCTCAGCTGTCCATATGGGAGATTAGTGATGCTGAGTTGAAACAAAAAATGCCAGATGCATGCAAAAGTGTTTTGTCTACAGTGACTATGCTGAATTTGTAATATGGAGGTGATACAGCATTTAGAATCAAAGCGCTAAAATAACAGAAATAGCTTCCCAATGCATCTGTGAATTTGATACTTTTAGGGGAGCATCGGACATATTTGCGGGTTTTCTTAGAAGTTGAGCTCAGATGCCTTGGGGTTTTTTTCTGTAGTTCATACTTAGCCAGAAAACTTGCAGTGATAGGAAGTGTTAAAATAAGAGTTTGTTAGAACACCTGTTTGATGTTAGAAGTAAAATTTTCAGCTCATATTTGTTTCTCTGTGCAAGCATAGTTCCTTACAATAGCATACATTCAGTTTTCAAGAGGGATCAACTGAACAGAGAAACAGTATCTCATGCGTGCTCCTGTTTTAATTGTCATTAAAACCCTCAGAAAAAAAGACTAAAATACTGTCTTTCTTTCCATGCCATCTCTTCTGTACATTCCTTATTGTTCTTTTCTGTATTTTCCTTGATGACCCTGTGCATAAGATTCAGTTCTAAATTAAGATATCAAAATGTGTCTACAACTTCCATTCCAGTTGATAGAGACCTAGCTAGTGGAGTCTGGAGAGTATTTTGACTCATGCACACCGAATTTGGCCCACTTAATCACTCTCCAGCTTCCACTGACTCCAGTCTCCGCTGACTGGACTGGGCTCCAGGGACTTTCTCACTTACATGTAGGGTCTGGATCCCACCACATGAGACTGGATTTTGTATATTTTGATGACAACATTACGTCATATGATTTACAGAGTTTTACATCATTGCTGACATAGAAGGCTCACTGGAATAAGGAACATTTTGTTGTTTCAAGTGCTGACTTTGTAATATTAACACTTTGTGAGAAGCGGTTTTGTTATATCTACAGCAGTTTCTGTGATTAAACAGAGCTTTAATCATAAATTACCTTACCTTTTGCCCCTTGCCAAGGGGTTAATAAGCAATGTCGTGAAAGAAGGCATTTTTTCCCTTTTATCCATTACTTTGTAACACCAACACCTAAACCTCATCACATTTGGTTTGAAACCAGACAAAGGCTTGGTTTCCACAATATTTGGGATCCTCAAGCTTGTTATAGGTTTCAGATGCCCAAAGAATTTATCTGCCTGCCATCCCATTCAGTGTGCTTTCAGACTGATTGAAATTAATTTGAAGCACTGCAAGAGCTTAACATGAAAACAACATTTTATTCCAACAAAACAAAGGCTCCAGTATTTAACAAAATTTGAAGTACAGTGACCAAAGGAAAACACGAAAGCAGTAAGAGGCCGATTTAAAATTGTGTGGGCTAGATACAGTGCTGTTCACACATCCTGTTAGTTCAGGAGTTGTCAAACCACAGTTGCAACTGTGTATTGACAGTAGGGTGAAGTGGGCCATGTTCCAGGTTTGTGAAGCCCATCAATGTAAAATACACAAACACACGTAAGTATACGCTAGTGCTAAAATGTTCAAACAAAATTTTGCTTAATCTGATTCTTCTTGTGTCTTTAGGCTAATTTGCGCCGCAAATTAACTCATGCCATGCAGACTGATCTCAGTCATATGAGAAGAGAGAACTCCACCCAAGTGTACTTGCCGAAAGATGTTAGCACCCAGACTAAGCGTGACAACTCAAGCAATGTACCCAGGCCACAGATTTTCTTGGAAGGTCTCCGAGGAGGATCATCTCATACTACTCGTATGGTCAAAGTAGACTTAACAAGAGCAGTAGATGAAACCTAAATGAAGATGAGAAACCTGAAGATGTATCTTGAGTGTATATATAAAAAATCCTGCATATATCTGAATTAAGATACAAAAGATTTTACTGTGTCTGTTGATTCCAGGAGCAGTTGATTTATTTCATTTACCTTATCTGTTGGGGCTGCTGACTGGCATTAGGTGATAGAAATTACAAGCCTGAAACACCCAGATTTTAAACAGCAATTTAAGATCAAGATGTTCCCAAAGACTTTAACTTAAACTAACATTTAAATGTGTAGTGTGTGTTCTGGGATTTTCTTGAGGTTTTAATACAACGATTGCTTGCTGAAACACTGTCTTTGGTACATGAAAAGGATAATGTAAGACAAATAGCTTTTATGAGATACAGGGCCACTGCTGCAGCTCCTACGGAGGCATAATTCCCATTGGTGTGAAACAAAACGGATCCCAAGAGAGTCACCCAAATGTCACAGCTCCACCCTTAGAGCAGAATCATCAGGAAGGTAAAACCAGCAAAATGTGGTCAGTCTCGGTCCTTGGGCCTGTCCGTCTGTGCTGTCGTTATCCCAAGTGCCTTTGCAGGGTAATAGGTGTTACAAGTGTAGGCCAAGGCAGGGAGGTCGAGAGGAGGGAATCCAGCTTGGATGGCTCCGGCAGCCTTTTAGATCTCTAGTAATTTCTGTATTCACTGGCTAAACAGCGTGCTGGTGAGCACATTGGAAACCATAGGAACTTGACTTCGGGGCACCTTTTTGAAAGCTCTGTTTGAAAGCTGACTTGTTTGAAAAACTAAAGCACAACAGGAAAAGGTTTTTAGCTTTATTTCATTGTGGCAGTGAAATATGTGCCAGGTCTGATCAACCACAACTGCAGCTAGTATTTCTGTTTGTGAAAATCTGAATTGTTTGAGCTTTAAGATGAAACATCTTCTCAAATGGAAGCAGGGGGTACTTTAAAAGACAGATACTTTTCACAACAACAAAGATCTCCACAAATTATTATTGGCAAAAAGTCCAGGTGTGCAACCGTGATTGCCATAGGGTGTACTAAGGTTTCGAAGTCTCTTTTTTGGTCAGGTGCAGCGTGGGTCATTGTTACACAAGCTTGTGACAATGAAGCTCGAAGATTCAAGCTGCTGGCTGATTTTCCAGTGGCATTGTGCAGGATAGCATTCTCTTTTTGTTTAACTGTCTCCAAGGTATCTGGCTTCACTTTTAAAGTTATACAGCTGGGACAAATCCGCAAGGCATTATTAAAAAAAAAGGAGCAGGAGGGGAGCACACAAAAAACTTAAATGGTTTCCACTAGGTGGTTTTCTCTTTTGTGAAAAGAAACTAATCAGTAGCAGCTAAATGTGCTGATCCTCCATGTTTTTCGATGATGAGCTGGCACCGATTTTTAGATTTATTAATAAAAACATGAGTGCTATTACCGGCTGCAGCTTTTTTCTTATTCAAAGAAAATACCCTGTTGCTGCTTCATTGAATACTTTTTGTTATTTTGATCTCCATGTATTTTTATCATCATTTGCTTTGAACCTTTTATGTAAAAGTTACAACTTTTGACCAACCAACTGGTATTTTAAGAATATGTAAATACATTTATTTAAAAGAAAACTGGTAAGTGAAAATCCCTTTTATCCCACTTACTCTTTTCTTTTTCATTTGTAGTACTACTACTGTAGTATTCTAAAATACTGGGGAATGCAATTGTAATTATTTCAGTTTTGGCACGGCAGAAACATGTCAGTATGTAAGAGCTTACTACTGGCGATGAGCCGTGCATGTGTGAGATTCCTGGGTGTTTACTACCAACAAAATAGTTCAGGAAAAAAGGTTACTTTTCAAAATGGCTTTATTCATGTGAAAGGGGAGACAACGTTCAGTCGATGCCCACTTGGACTGGAGTTTTTCTTTACTGGGATCTCGTTCTTCTGTTCTGCCGGCGCGCTGGTGAGGGTGCTCATGACGGCAAGAGCAGGCAGCACAGAGCCAGCCCGGTGGCGAGGTAACACAGCGCAACGCTCGCCACGGGCAGGCTTTAAGGCTATTCCAAGGGTAGCTCATGGTAGCAGCTGGCATCCTGCACATTTACAGCTGGGTTTGGGGCTTTTTCCTTTGTAGGTGTTGCCGTTCGGGGAGCACCAGACAGGTGCATAGACAGGAGGAGAGATGCAGATTGCAGCTGTTTGACTTGAACTCCTTACGCTTTACTCAGCAATTGGCATGCACCACCGCAGTCCGCAGAGTCACCGGGCGCTTTTATGACTCCCTGGTGCTGCACAGGGCAACGCATCGCTCCGTTTTCAAACCCCGAAAGCCTCCGAAGCGAGGCATTTGACACGGCCTCTGCCCTCACCGCGCCGCCTGTGCTGGCCGGGGCCGTTCCGCGCGGGCAGCCGGGGTGACGGTCCCC